TGTCCCAGTGGTGAGGATTCAGCTTGGCAGTGGACAGGAGGGGGTGGTCCGTTTAAATGGCTTTCCTTCCAATTGATTATTTCTACAGATCCATACGTTTGAATGGTGCTTTACAGACAAACAGGTCCTTGGCCCGAGGAGCTTACAAACCAAGTTATACATACCACAGAGTGGTGTAACAAAAAGTGTGGGGGAGGGTGCTGTAGGAAAGACAAGGGTCGTGGTAATAAAAGAGCAGGAATTGTACTTTAGTTGCACACGTTATTATTTTGGGAGAGTCCAGGAGCTCCAATCACAGACCAGGACCCCATTGTGCCAGGCCCTGTACAAACGCAGATCGACCGATGGTCCCTGCCCAAAAGACCTTGCAATCTAAGTATTCTTATTCAGTTTTTGTATTTTGACTGTGCATACTTTTTGGATCTGTCATTTTTCATTGTTATATTATTGGTAGTTTTGAGGAGCAAAGATAAATACGAGGGCAGGAGCAGAATTCAGTGCTGGAAGAACAGCTGAAAGAAGTGAGTCTTGAGATGGGATTTGGAGAAGGCGTTAGAGTTACATTGCACTTTGGATCAGAGGGGATACTCAAAGAATAAATGGGGGGGGGGGGGGAGCTTATATAATAACAGCCATAGTGGGTCAGACCAATGGTCCATCTAGCCCAGTATCCTGTCTTCCAACAGTAGCCAAGCCAGGTGCTTCAGACAGAATGAACAGAACAGATAATCAAGTGATCCATCCCCTGTCCACTCCCAGTTTCTGGCAAACAGAGGCTATGGACACTCCGAGCATGGGGTTGCATTAATTTCTCCAGATTGTATAATTCTCCTATGCACATGTGTGAGACTTCTGGGGGAGGTGTTGGTGTGTGTTAGGGGTGTTGGTGTGAGTGTTGTCTGGGCTCTGTAACTGCAGGCACAGATGGGGCTGAAAATAATGTATTTATTATGGAAGGGGTGGGGGGAATCTTCCGAGACAGTCTCGAAATAAACCAGCCACACCACATTGCAAGCTTCTTCTGGGTGGCTATCCTCTGTCCAGCTGGTGCAGTGTAGGGATGGTGTGGCTTTTACCAGGTAAAATCTTGGTTTTTACTGCCCTGGGAAAAACTAATTAGTCCCAGTTTAAGGAATTTTCTATTTTAAAAACTAATTAATGTACACTACATTACACTTAGGTTTAGTTGCATATTCAAATTGTGGTTCCAAAAGGCAGTAGATTCGTAGATTAATTTTGGGTTGTACAAATAAAAAGTAAAATTGCAGTGGACATAATATGCAAGTCCAATACTGAACATCAGAATGTCTCTACATTTTGGTTTGGTATTTTCTCAAGGAAGTTATTCATGTCATGCTTCATAGTTCAGTTTTCAATATTTTATAACTACATTTTTTGACTTGTATTTATGAAAACAACAATAATGCAGAGTTGTAGGCTTGAAGCATTAGGCAGTCGAAGACCTGCAGAGTTGCAGATTACCAGTCCTTTTGGCCATGCAGCATTCTGTAGCAGAAGACCAGCTGTGATGTAGTGGATAGACCAATCTTATTCCTCAGTTTTGAATGCCTGTAGCCAAAGTATGAAAAGATTCATTCTGTGCTTGCTGAACTTGCTGGATGCTGATGCAATTATTTTTCTCGGTTTCCCGTTTTAAACCGGGTTTAAGCCAGTATTTACCAGTGCCCTGTCTTAAATTAGTGTTTCCTGGGAAATTGCCCACTCTGGTACAGTGTGCTTGTGTTTTAAATGGTCTATCTTGAAGGGCCCCAGAGGAGCAGGCTGTTTACTCTATCAAAGCAGAATCCTATGGCATCCACTTCATTGTTTTGTGCCCTCATGCAAGTGCGTTGCTCACAAGCATAAGGCCCTTCATAGTGTTGCTGTGGTGGGGATGGTTTTCCCTTTTGCACTCTTCCTCCTCCTGTAGGGCTGTTTGTCATTCTCATTCCCTAGTGGTCATTTCATAGCAATGGAGAGCAAAAGCAGTTTGGGGGTGAGCTCCTGGGGGCTGTGCACTGCAGCAGCATTCTTCGGTGAAGGTTGACATAGTTAACTCTTGTTCTGGTGGCTGACTGACTAGCTCCTTATGCCTTCTGTCTATTGCTCACTGTCTCCAGGGAAGTGATCACCTTGGAGGACAGTATATTCCATGTTGCTAAACTACACTTCTCTAACCGATATTTAGTTAAAAAGAAATCCCTGTTCTGACCGTAGGTGAGGATCCAATGTACAGTGCAATCTGCCGCCATGAGCAGATCTTCCCTTCATGACCGAAACTGTCCAGTTTTGGGAGGCAGCATCGCTTGGCATCGTTCTCTAGGCAATCCCCTCTGGCCGCCTAGAATACGTCGGTCCCACTGCTTTAGAGGAAGCCAGCAACACAGGGCCACAGAGGATGTGTGAAAGAAGAAAAAATGGAAGGAGTCCTAGTGGAGAGAGACTCGCTTACAACAGATGGGGATTTTTTCCTGGGAAAGTGAATCTCCAGTGACTGTAACTGACTTACACCTGTTTACAGCTGAGCAGAGTTGACTCTTCATGTGGGGAGAGTCACAAATGTGACAAGTGAAAGAAAGCACCTACCTTTGTAGGTTTATTCTAAAGAAACAAAGCTCCATTCCAGGGAGCTTCCCTGACAGCACAACACAATGTGCTGACACAGTGCAAGGACTGAGTCACCCCATTACAAGGGTATTTATTTCATGGATCAGTCATGCGACAACTGCACCAAAAATAGTTGTTTAGCTTAGCCTGTAAAAGAGGGTTGTGAAAATATTTACGGTGACTAGGAGCCGTTTACAACACAGAGAGAGAGATGGGCATATACATCCCGTTATTCCCTCTGATACAGCTAGAGGGGGTTCAAGCTCTAATAGCTGATAGGTGGATTTGTGCACTGGGAACACTTCCTTGTGCCTTTGAAACAAATAAAGCTCTTTTGGGGCTTTCAGAAGGTTCTTTAAAGGAGCCCTGGAGAATAACTGATCGTAGATTCAGAATGATGAAGTGGATTGTGGAACAGTGGAAATATAGAGGCAAATGCAGGAGAACGCCACATTGTAATTTGTCAGCTTCTCCAAACCCTGTAATGGATTATTCTCTCCCTCTGACACGTCTCACCTCGCCAATAGGAAATTAACTGATGCTATCGCTAAAGAAATTGTTTTTGCCTCACAAAGTAAAATTGTTACTATAAAAACCTGCTAGCAGTGTCTCCTCCTCCTTTTACATGAAGACAAATCCGTCCTGTCACTACTGAAATAGAAAGATAAAGGCTGAGCTTTAATAAAGCAACTATCAAAGCGTGTGTGGGGGGGATGTGGTGGGGGAGCAGAGGGTCTGAGCTGAAGGTGTGATGCCAAAGGAGATTACAAAGGGCTTGAGTGGAACTACGCCACCTCTAACATGTCTGTTTATGCATGTGTCTATATATTCATGAATGTTTGCCTATGTCTTATGGGGCTTACGTTTTCAAAACGTATAAACCTTCAGAAGTGCCGGCCTGGCTTTCAGAGGTGGCAAATGCTCACATCTCCCACTGAGCTCCCTTGCCGTAGTGGGTGTTCTGCACTTCAAAAACTAACACACACAAAGCCAGCCCCAGGATGTAGATGTCTCATGTTGGGATGCCCAAAAATTTAGATGCCCAAAATGAGCGGACATTTACAAATCTAGTCGTCTGTTTGTATCCTGCATGTGTCTATCAAAGTGACTGTTCCAGGGGTGGTCACGTTCTAACCCACTTGTTAGTTTCCTCTTCAGTTTCTCAAACAAATTCTTATAGGCCATGCAAGTATCCATCCATGCCTGTTGCAGCCCAAAGGTGAATGTTTTTAGGAGACTTGAGTGAAATCGGTTCAGCCACTTTTGAGTCTATGCTGCCATTTTGTGGGAGGAGGGGAAAGAGAGAGAAAGGGAGACGCTTTCACCATGTGTTTCAATCCATTTTAGTACGTGTTTCAGACCCAACACGAGAAGCTTCAAACTTAGCTTCTTGTGTAATCCTCCTTGAGACTACTGAATTCCTCATCTTCATGCTTGTATGGTTTTAATTCTAAACATTTTAAGTTTGCAATTTAAATATTTGATTCCTGTTCCATTAACTGTGGAGGCTTTTTGCATTTTCTGTGGTCCGGTATGCACATCCAACCAACTCTGTCTATGGGGGTGCGAGCGTGCATGGTGTGTGCCTCCTAACAAAGGAGATGCCCCTTCCTGGTGAATGCTGACCTGGGTGGGTTCTCGAGGATCCCTTCTCTTATTCCCTTGGTTACATCTTGTGACCAGACAGAGTGAATGGAGCACTGTTCCCATCATTGCTCCTTGTCCCAGGAGGAGCATAACATCTCTGCTAACTGGGGAGTGAGGGCTGGGGCCCTAGTCTTTGAACTCCTGTGAAACAGAAGTGGATATTTCAGGGGTGGGCAAACTTTTTGGTCCGAGGGCCACATTGGGGTTGCAAAACTGTATGGAGGGCCGGGTAGGGAGGACTGTGCCTCCCCAAACAGCCTGGCCCTCGCTCCCTATCTGACCCCTCCCACTTCTCACCCCCTGACTGCCCCCCTCAGAACCTCTGACCCATCCAAACCCCCCCCTCCCCTGCTCCTTGTCCCCTAACCACTCCCTCCCAGGACCTCACGCCCTATCCAACTGCCCCTGTCCCCTGACTGCCCCCTGGAACCCCCTGCCCCTTATCCAACCCCCAGCCCCCTTACCATGCCGCTCAGAGCAGCATGTCTGGCAGCTGTGCCGCCCGGCCGGAGCCAGACGTGCTGCTCGGCAGGAGCATGCAACCCCACCACCCAGAGCGCTGCCCACGTGGCGGCATAACTGTGGGGGAGGGGGCGGGGGCTAGCCTCCCTGGCCAGGAGCTCAAGGGCTGGGCAGGACAGTCCTGCAGGCCACATGTGGCCCGCAGGCTGTAGTTGGCCCACCTCTGGGATATTTGGTGCTGGTGAGGAAGCTAGTCTATAAACTGTGATTCTCTCTCCTTTCAGGGGACATCAGAAACCTGCTAAAGTGGATCAAACAGAATCTATTAAAAGAGAGACCAGAATTATTTATTCAAGGGGACACCGTGTAAGTACAGATGTAAAAGACTTTGTTCATGTTTCCCTGTCTGCAAGTCCCAGTGCAGAGGGCATATGTGTTACTGCTGGTGGCGGGAAGAAAGTTATATCAGCTGAAATATGGCGCATGCTAGAAGGAATGACACAGAAGAGAATAGCCCATAGACTTGAATAGGGAAAAACGGTCCGCTCTATTGTCTTGCTGTATGACCAAAGACAGATCACTTAGCTTCTCTGTGCCTCATTATTCCCATCTGTAAAATGGGGATAAATACTACCCCATGGGAGGGATGTGAGGCTCTCTTTGTAAAGGGCATTGATTTCCTTGGATGACAGGGACTATGCAAGTGCAAAGTACTACTGTGGTGGAGGGAGGTGGGTTGATATTCTAGAGAATTATCCAGTTTGGGGAGCAATGTGTCTGCTCTTTGCCAGGTCTGACTGTGAGAACTCCAGCTCCTTCTGAACCTAAACCCAACCCAATTCCACAAAATGTCTGTCTCCTCACGACCCACAGCAGGAGGTGCCCCAGCACTCATGGCCTCTTTCCATTCCCCGTCACCTCGAGTACTAGCATTGTGTGTAGATTGCAGGGTTGAGGTTTTAGCCAGTAGACCATCCCCCTGTTCCAGCTGTGTGTCTGTGTTGCACAGTGCAGTCTCTGTTCACATCGCTGGGCCTGGATCAGTCACTCTGAGAAGCACCAACAAATAGATCTGCTGGGAAATGATTTTATTTTTAAAATGGGGCCAATCTCATTGAAAAAGGCCAGAAGAAATGGAGCACAATGTGCTGTGCAGGCAACTCCCAGCTGCAGAGTGGAGGTTGGGTGTTTAACATTCCTCACAGGTCTCTGTGAGCTGAAGCGTGTGCCAGGTCCCCTGGTAGCAGGGGAGAGAATTGCAGGACACTGAAGATCAAAGAAGGGGAATCCCTTTGCCTCTAATCAGGAGCTCTGAGTTGATCCTGGGTGTTTACAACCTTTAGCAGGGGCACTACAATTGCTTTCCTTAGCTCTGAATTGACCTCTCTGCACTCGATTGCAGTGCATGGGTTTTAATTACCTGGCTTTTCTATATTGTATTGAAATGGCGTCATCCCAGAGCCTTCTTGTGAATGGTGTCGTTTGATTTCAAACGAGCTCTGGGATCAATCTCGTTTTCCCCTTTATTTGATCTAGAAAGGGCACTGCCTGTTCCTATTTCCACCTCTGTGCTAGGATTCCCTTTTCGCATCAGCTTTACAGACCAGCCTGCCTGTGATCTGCTTTTTAACAGCCAGTGGTGCTAACTCTTTGCAGCTTTTAGCAATCCTATTTCCTGACAACTTCTGTGTTCTGCAGGCGGCCAGGAATTTTGGTGCTCATCAATGATGCAGACTGGGAACTAATGGTCAGTCCTACTTCAGTTTTATTTTCTTTGTTCTGTTGCTCTGCCTGATTTGTGGCTGTTCTTGGGAAGCTAGTTTAGATTCTTGCCCCAAGCTAAGCATCTAGTAGTGGGCAAGGGGAGGGAGGAGTTCCTGCATGTGTTGTACGCTGGCTGTTCTAAAGCCTGGAGCCTTTATCTAACCTGCTGAGGCTCAACCACCATTCAGTCCCCCAGAAGATCACCCACACTCCTTGACCTTCAGCTGTGGCCTTCACTCCTCTGGGAACTGAGTTGGTGTCTCATCCATGCTTGAGTTAACCACTTGCTTAGTGAGGCACCAATGTTGCTTCACAGCCTTGGGCAATTGTGAGAGCCATTGATTATAATAAGGTGAGTGCTTGGGAGGTGAAGACATGTTTCACCTAAGATCATTCTCAGGTGAACCAAAGGAGGATGCTGAGGTAGAACAAGCGGAGCTGGCCCTTGGGGTTTTTGCTACACTAGGATTATGTCTACACTTAAAGCGAGGAAGAATTATTCTGTCTACCTGGTGCTGTCTAGGCCATGGGTTAGGTTGGCTTCACTATGTCGCTCAGGAGTGTGGATTTTTCACTCCCCAGAGCATCGTAGCTGGGTCAGCTTAACTTTTTAGTGCAGACGTGGCCTAGGCAAACAGGCTAATGTCGTCTCCTCTCAGTCCACCATCACAGGCCCACTATAAATAGTCACAAACTAGTCTGCAGATATAATAGTCACTTCTGAGAGTGGCACTTCCCCATGACAGTGAATGTCTGAGAGCTCCCTCTCCTGTCTCTCCACCTTGCCTTTCTTAGGAGTAAACCTTGGTCTTCCCCCTCTGCAGTCCCTAGTGCTCTGGCATCTGTTATGAGATGTTCTTCTTGTGCAGCCTCTGTTTGGAAATGCCTATTAAACCATTTCTCATTCTTTCTTGACCTGCAGGGCGAGCTGGATTATAAACTCCAGGACCAGGATAGTGTGGTTTTCATCTCAACGTTGCATGGTGGTTGAGCTCTTGGAATTCATAAGGACATAAAACAAGAACACTGGGGGAGAACCCTCATGTCTTTTTGAACTGTCTGTGCCTCACTTAAGCCATGGCAAATCATTTACACCGTCATTAGGCATACAAATAAAACCCATGCCAGTGACTGGCCTAGCATGCACTTCCGGCCCTTCCATCCTTTGGTTCTACTTTAACCTCTCCTGCCTGCAATCCCAGGTGCATAGGTGATGGGAGAGCACCTGCTGCATTTGGTCACTTGATTCCTGGGTCCATGAGGGAAGGGCTCCTGCACTAGGTGCTGAAAATTAGTTTCTTTAAGTATGGGGGAGGGGAAGGTGCCTTTTTCCTGGAGAAAGATGATCTGGGGGAATTGTGGCTACGCTTCAGGGCAAGGATGGACAGACTTTGCCTTGGCTGCAATAGCTGTGTTTCTTTCAATGGGACATTTATTTGGTGGAGTGTCTTTCATATGAACTGTATCCCAAAGTGCCTTGCAATATTAGCAGATAAGAGGAAATGTGACAGAAGGAAAAGAGGTTTTTAGCTGTGTCTTCACATGAGGTGGAGAGTGGACGGCAACATACACTTACAGTGTGTCTACACTGCAATTAAAAACCCGCAGCTGGCCCATGCCGGCTGGCTTGGGTTAAGGGGATGTTTAATTGTGGTATTGATGTTCAGGCGCTAGTTCCCAGTGAGGTGGGAGGGTCCTAGAGCTCGAGCTGCAGCCTCAGCCTGGACATCTACGCTGCAATTAAACAGCCCTGTAGTCTGAGCCTCACCAACCCAACTCAGCTGGTCTGGTGCAGCTGTGGGCTTTTAATTGCAGTGTAGACACCTTTTAGGGCCTGGCTCTCCCCTCACCTGCATCTTGTCACTGTTTACATCTGTGCAAAGTGGGTGTGAAACACAATTCTGATTTCCTAATGTTTTACACCTAGGGTGACCAGATGTCCTGATTTTTAGGTCTTTTTCTTATAGGCTCCTATTACCCCTCCACCCCATCCTGATTTTTCACATTTGCTGTCAGGTCACCCTATTTATACCTGAGCAAAGGAGTGTAAAACACTGGCAGATGAGACTGGAGCACCTACCTAAATGCAAATAATTACACTACATGCAAGGCAGTAGAGAAGCAGGCCCTATGCCTATAAAATCTGGTGCAGTGAATCATGTTGTGTCTGAGATAGGAAGCAGAAGTGGAAGAACTGCATTGAATGTGGTTTTCAGCATCAGATGTGGAGCCCAGAACTGCTGCAGAGCAGGTATGCACCAGCCATCCTGGCTTTTCTGCAGCAGTTTTTGATGAGCAGTCTAAGGGTAGAGGGGCTGGAACATACTGAAAACAATAATGAAAATGCTGCAAAATCAAATAGTATTCATCTTTTAAACCCTTCCCCCAGATTCCCCAAAGGAAGGTGAGACTTCCCAGTGTTGTTTACCTACTGAGCGAGCCCTGTTATTGCTGTGGCTGAAGTGGAGGTTTGTATTTAACAAACTAAGGATGTTTGACTTCCACCAATTTCCCTGAAAATACAGATCGGCCCAAACTCCTCCTCCGTGCTGCTAACCAGGCCACAGTCAAAGTACAGGAGGGGCAAAGGGTGAGATTCCCGTAAATAAAACTGAGGAACTGATACCAGGGATGTGAACCAAGGTTTGGCATATGTTGGGCAAGCTTCCTCCATCTATATCACTCTAGCGATTTTCCTTGGTCCTTTGCCTACCAGTATACCCCTTACCCCTGCTCCCACATGTTTCTCTGCCAGTGCACCTCGATCAGGACTGTAGCACTGATTACAGCCACATGTAATACAATCGGGTATTGCACGAGCTCTTTCAAATACTTGTCACCTGCACTGTTACCTGCTCTTCCTAGCTTGGGTCTCTCCTGAGCTGCTATTCAGTAGCTGAGATGTTGCACCAGACCATTGGTCTAACAGCTGCGGTACCCTGACACTGGCAATGTATGTGGCCAATACATTAATCCTTCTGTATGCTGCACCTAACAAATTTGCATTCTGTATGGTGGGAAGGGAGGGGAGAGACACTCTCCTGTTTGACCTCTCTAGCAATGGGTTTATACCAAGAGATGTTTACCAGGTCCTAGGATGCATAACTAAAACCAACTATGAATTATGATGATTAACTTGTTAATGTTTCTGAAGTGCTTTCAAGGTGAAGAGTGCTGAGCATTATGGGTAATAAAATTAGTCATCAGCCTCTGTCAAATCCAGCTGCAGCCGTTGACTTGGCCATGCTGCAGCTGTGAATTACACAGGCCAAAGGCTTTTATTTGTTCTGAATTTACCTGTCATTAATTTCACCGAGTGAAACTGCTGGGAGGAAGGGGACAAACAAAACATAAAGATTCTAGATCAAGCTAGCCACGGGCTGAGAATAGTCAAGTGTGGGTAAGACTTGAAAACAGGTGGAGGTGGAAGGAGATGTGTGTAGCCCTGCCTCAGAGCCCTTTCCTGCCCTAAGCTGTATTGGGGCTTTAGAGGGGTTTTCTCTGGATCTTCCTTTTGGTTTACTTACCACAGGAGGAGTTTCTTCACTGGGAAATCTTACTTGCCTTAATAGTAAAAGTGCAGCTAGACCCAGAAGGATTAGGCCAGAGGCAGTAAAAACTGCTGCTCAGTGCTAGAAGTGCCAGGGCAAGGAGGGGGAGATGCTGCAGCCAGTTCCTGTCACTGCAGCAGTTTCTGAGCCACAGGCCTGTTTAATTCTTTGTGCTGCCCGGATTCTTGGTGAAATGGGGCTTGTCTTGCCAGAGGTTGTTCCTCGTGTGTTTCCTGGGTTGCCCCAGCAGCGCCAGAAATTTTAGGAGGCTGCTGCTTTGCTCCTTAAATCAGAGGGGGCGGTTTGCTGTGGGCTGCTGCCTGGGTGTAATGGGATGGATGAGTTCAGACACTACAGCCGCCCTGCTGTTCTTCTCCCCACCTGGCTTGGCAGCCGGAGCGAGCCCGGGCCAGGGGCCCAGGAGTCCTCTGCTGTTCCCCAGGCTGCAGGCTCTGTTCCCATCCTCCCCTCTCCCTGCTGTTAGCAGCAGCCAAGGGCCGGTTCCCGCTACACCCCTTCTCCCGGGGCCCCGCAGCGCCGGCTTCCCGCTCCAGCCCAGCCCGAGCCGGTGGCTGCTGCTGGGGGCTGGTCTCTCCCTGGCGCAGGTAGCAAAGGGCGCTGCAGCGCCGAGCCCCGGGAGTGGATCGGGGCGGCTGCAAGGCCAGGACGATGTCGGCTTTGCCAGTGCCCCTGCGGGAGGGAGGGGACAGAGCTCGGGCTGCTTGGCTCGGAGCCCAGCCCCGGGCCTTCCTGGCCTCGGGTCTCCCACCCCCACAGCTCCAGGGGCTGCGGGGCAGAGCTGGGCCGCCCCCCGCCTCAGCCTGCCGCAGAGCCGGGGGGGAGGGGGCCGGGGTCGCGCAGGCTGCGGGCGGATCGGAGCAGCATAAGACACAGGCAGCAGCCGGGCAGACTGCAGGGGGGGGGTCTGGGAACCCCTCGGCTGGGGGGGGGCAGGGTCCCTCTGCGCGGGTGGGAGGAGGCTGTGGGGTGACTGCGCTGCGGGCAGGGGGGCGCGTGGGTTCAAAGGAGCCGGCCCGGAGCTGGCATCTCTCGGGGGCTCTCCCCTGCTGCAGCTTCCCACACCCGGCCGAGGTGCCCCATAGGCGGTGCCAGCCCCGCCTGGCCTGGCCTGGCCTCTCTCGACCTCGCCCTCCCTCCCACGCAGCTCAGCCGGGGCGGGGGGGGGGGGGCCCCCCCCCCCCCCCCTAAAAGGGGGACGGCCCTTGGGGGGCGGGGTGGGCTGGTTTTTCCACACGTGCTTCTGCACTGGTGGGGGAGATCCCTGGCTCCGATCCCGCGATGGTGGCGGAGAAACTTCCCAACGGGACTGATCCTCTCCCTCTCCTTTCGAAAAAGAGGGTGGGGGGGGGGGCAGCGATTCTGCAAGGGGGGATCGGGTCCGAGGGAAGCTGGACCCAGCGCCCGAAAGCGCAGCGCACAGCGGCAAAGGAAACCATTCCCCTTTCCTGCATGCGATGCTGCGTGCTGTGCTGTCCCTGCCCCGGGGCGTGGAAGAGCAGCCAGAAACCCCCCAGCTTTGCCAGCGCTAGGCTCCCCCCTTCTAGCAGCAGGGTGCTCTTGCAGGCGCTGGGGAATGGACACCCGCTTGGAGAGAGGGAGAGGGCTTTCCCCCCGTGGCTGGAAGCACACAGCAAAACTCCTCTCCTCCCAGCACATCGGCACAAAACCGGAGCGAGGGCAGCCCGGACGCTGGTGTCATTTGATCACCTCCACTTTAGAGGCTTCCCCAACAGTGCTGACTTTCCCTCGGTCCGATCAAAACCCTATTGCAAACAAATCAGTGGTTATCTGGGGGGTTCCCCAGCGATCTACTCGCAGCGAAGAGGAAATTAAAGATCATAGTGGCTAGTGGGGTTTTTTTTTAAGCAATTCTCTAGAAGAATGCTAAGAGGGTTCGTTGTTTAGACACCCTTTGAATCAGATCTATTTAATCTGGTTTACTGGGAAAGTCAACTTTCCCCATAATTCTGATGATTATCAAAACGGTTTATTCCTTCATCTTTTTACCGCTGTTATTTTTATTGATGTAGATTTTACCCCAGACAATTTCAGATGAGTAAAATAACTACACCGGGCTTGTTTAAAAAACAAAAACAAAACAAAACAACAGCCGCCAGAAAAGATTTGAAAAACGTTTTAAAATGACTTTTCCCCCCGTCAACAGTTTTGATTTTAAAGCAGATAAAAAGAAAACCGGTGGAAAGTTTAAACCGAATTTTTTATTAAAACCTTCGATGATTTAAACCCAGCGAGCTAGGTTAGAATTAAATATATACACAAAATATTTTCAGCTGTTAAACGTGTTATTCGTTTCAAAGAACAAAATCTCTCGGAGGAACATGGGCAGTCTTTTACTAGCAACTATCTGCCGCATCAGAACTGAAATATCTGTTGGAGCTAAACAGAGGGAATTATTTAAAAAAAAAACATATTTAGACCTACAAACGCTGAGAGTAGACTTGTGGAGATCCCTCTGAGATGAGGGGGTTTAGCGGTTGTCAGTGACGAATATTTATTACCTTGCTGCACACAGGGTCCAGGGAATGAAGGGATTTTTTTGGCCTCAAATCAACT